CTTATACACATATACACGCATGCGCCACACACACACACACACACACACACATGCACACATCAGAGAAAGTAAATGAACATGCCGTACAATTTTATATAGTATCTATAGTTTATTGTTAGATACTAATTATATTATTTTAATTGTATTAATTTTAATAAAATTGTTGCATATTTATTGGCAATGCTTTATATAATAAATTTATTATAATAAATTTATGTAAAAAGATCAAATGTTTTCTTTTCTAACATTTTTATTATATCTTTTATTATCTTCATTATTTTCTGTATACATATGCAATATTGTCATGTTTTTTTATATTCATAAATTGTATTAAAGTAATTCATGAATATAAAAAAACATGACAATATTGCATATGTATACATTCATATTATATTCTTTGTGAATCATATAATTTAAGTTACTCTATTAAAGCAATATAACTGCAATATTTCATATTATATTATATATGGAACTCCTCTTTTTAATTTTTTATAGTAAATAAAATAATGAAATATTAAAAATATGTCAATTATTATTTTTACAATAATAATAAAATGATTTTGATTCTGATATTTAATATTTAATATTGATTTGATATTTAATTACACACGCACGCGCACGCGCGTACGAAAAATTTAAAAAAATCGAAAAAAAAAAATCAAAAAGTAAATTCAAAATAAAAATAGAAACATCTATATGATACTTATGTAAGAGATAATTTATTAAAGATATACATTTTCATTATATTATAAACATTTTAAACAATTTCATTGTTACTTCCTCCAGAGTATGGTCATATCATTATATTTCCTGCAATATAGTGTAGTTGTATTATTATCATAAATACACATATGTACAAATGACCATTAATCGAGACAATCTTGTTGGATAATTGAATTCATTTTTAGAATGAATTCAATACTTTTACAGAAATTTCCCACTGTCGTCAAATGAAATAACAAATTCGAATTATTCATTAACTTTGATTATGCTAAGTTAAAATATCTCTTCTTGTCTTCTCATCCCCACACATTTAAAATGAAAAACAATATTTCATATATTTTTTTGAGCCTTGTGTCCACAACGAATGAAATTAACGAAAAAATCTTGATCAATCACATTTGCTATTTTAATCAATTATCAATGCGATTGGCAATTTTTTCTCCGTCTCAGATCTCGGATCTCTATTTCTAGCGGACATAACATTTTGAAAATTTAAAATCAATCAATGTTTTTAATTCGAATAAACATAGAAGCAATTTCATAATGATGAAATAATTCATAAATATGATGTATCATCTCTTGAACCTGTGATAACGCTTCTTAAATCGCAAATCATATCTCCGTCTAAAGTAATAGTTCTAAAACAAAAGATAAAATATATATAAAACACATGAAACATTAAGTTCAAATTAAAAATTATTATTAGAATAAGAATTTATGTAAAAATGCAGAAAATTATATTATTAAATGTACAATATCAATAATCTTACATTTTTGAAAGACGTATTATTTGTGCCACTCACGCCATTTGATTAATAAATCAATGGCGATTTAACTTACTACAGAAGCATTGTCACCGGATTTTCCATCAAGTCTTTAAAAAGCAGCTAACCAATGTGCACCTACCGCACCATCGATAATACGATGATCGCAACTGGCAATTACAGACATACATTGAGCAGTTGTAAATCTACAAAAATAAATTCACACGTTAATATTTATATGCTATATATATATAT